AGACGGACGTAGAGCCGCGCGCCCATCCCTGCGCTGTGTTTCGGCCCGGTCAGGGCCCCCGGTGCTCGTCCTTTATCGGGCGAGCCGCCCACAGTGTAACACCCCATCAACAGCAACAGCAACAGCAACAGCAACAGCAACAGCAACAGCAACAGCAACAGCAACAGCAGGCCAGGAGCTGGAGCAGCACCAGGAGCGGCACCAGGAGGCTGGCGGCATCCAGGACAACATGTGCTGACGGGGGAAGGCCAGAGAGCCGTTAAGGGGGGTACTGGTCGCGGAGGAGGGGGAGATGGACGCCGGGGGAAGAGGAGGAAGGTGGGCCGGGAAGACGTGTTTAGCCGGGGGGCCGATACAGCCCCACACAGCCAAGCACACCCCCGGAAAGTAAACTGTGTACGAGAATGAGTCACACGAGCCACACGAGGAGATGCGAAGTCGGCAACAGGTCCGCGGTGTGTGTGGAGCGCATCACACACGTACTTGTAGAACCGTCCAGGTACGACACGCGGCGGGGACGAGCGGCCGCCGGTAGCGCCCTGTCCTTGGGGTCCTCGCCCTCCTACTACTCCTCCGCCGCCGCTGCCAGCTGCTGCCCCTGCTACTCGTACAGCAGCGTCGTACACCCTCGGGTCGTCCGGCAACCAAATGAGCGGCTCCCGAGAGAACGCCTCCACCACCATTTGTAAGAGGCCTTCCGCCGCCGCAGGTGCCGGCGCCGCCGCCGCCGCTGCTCCTATTCCTCCTCCTTCTGCATCCGCCGTTCCCAGAGCGCGGCCGCCAGCGGCGGCGGCCGCCGCTGCCGCCGCGCCCTCGAGCTGCTGCAGGTGTGCCTCAATGAAGCCGTACAACCCGGACATGACCGCCAACGACGAAGTGAAGCCGCCGTCAGCTTCCCCTGGCTGTCCCGCCGCCGCCGCCGCCGCCGCGCCGCCGTCGTACCTGTCGTCCCCTTTTCCCCCGGCTGCTAACCGAACATCCCTCCTCGTCTCATCGTCCGTGCCGACGGCGCCGCCGCGTCGTAGTGCTACTGCCGCTGCCGCCGCCGCCGTCGCCCCGGTCATGCGGCCCGCTCCCCCACCGCACCCACGTGACCATCCCGTCAGCAGCTGAAGGACTAACCCCGGGGTCAGCTCCGAAACCACACCCAGCTGCCGTAACATCAACGTGATCACCTCCTCCTCCTCCTCCTTTCGGGTGACGCGGCCAGCTTCCCCACCGCCACCGCCGTCACCGCCGTCACCGCCGCCACTAGCCCTCGTGGTGCCTGAGCGGCCCCCTCCAAGGATAACTCCTCCGGCTGTGCATGCCGACACGTCGGCGTACGGCACATGGTCCCGAAGAAGTCGTTGAATGTACGGCAGCGGCGCGAAAGTGTCAATTGGGCGCATCAGGCCGCGGAAGTGGCGTCCGTCAGCGCCATCGCCGCCGCCGCCGCCGCCAGCAGCTTTATGCCCGGCGGCGCCGCCGCCACATCCCGGCAGTGTGGCCGGCAGCCAGGGGATGCTGCGCAGCGCCATCGCCAACGAGCTCGGACCCAAAGGTCCTCCCCCCTTAGTGTGCCCCGAGCTCGCGGCCGCGGCAGCGGCGCTGTGGTGGCGGCCGACCATAGAGTCTGCATGTGGCACCTGCTGCTGCGGCTGTAGCTGCGGCTGTAGCTGCGGCTGTTGCTGCGGCTGTTGCTGCACCAGCTGCGCCTCCATGGCGTGAGCGAAGTCCCTCCAGTGCACCGCCAACAGCTGGAGGAGCCTGCGGGGCCAGGAGCCGCGGGGGGGGGGGGGAAGACGGGGGGGTTTGGTTTTTGACGCACCCGGCGTGTGTGTGTGTGTGTGTGTACCAGCAGGAGCTTCATCCTTAGGGGAGCACCCCACGGGAGGGGGCAGCGACAGGGTGACAGTCCGCGAGTAGCCCGCAAGTTCGATGAGGATCCTAACACGGCAGGAAAGGGGTGGCGAGCGGATAGGGCTGCGGGTCGGTGATGGGCGGATGCGGAGGAGGGGGTGCGGCCGCCGTGCGATGAGCACCAGGGGATTCGATCCTTTGCCTGGTGTATTAGGAAAACGCTGCTGCTGTCCTGTTGGTGTTGGTGTTGGTGTTGGTGTTGGTGTTGGTGTTGGTGTTGGTGTTGGTGTTGGTGTTGGTGTTGGTGTTGGTGTTGGTGTTGGTGTTGGTGTTGGTGTTGGTGTTGGTGTTGGTGTTGGTGTTGGTGTTGGTGTTGGTGTTGGTGTTAATGTTGTTGCTGGGCCTGCATGTGTTGCAGCAGTGTTACGCACACCGCCTGCGTCCCCGGCCCCGTCTTCCGATGCCTTGGAGAACACACAGGCGGCAGCGCAACCCCGTCCACACCCTCCACCCTTCGACTCACCTTTCACACGCAACCATTGTGGCCGGCTCGCTTCCTCTTGTCCCCCCTTTTCCTCCGCCTCCTCTTCTCCCTTCGTCTTCACGAATTTTCTTCCCTGCCCGCCTCCGCACCGAACCCGCTAACCCCCCCTTCTCCTCCTCCTCCTCCGCCGCCGCCGTCGCCTGCTGCAGCAGCCGCAGCAGCGCCGGACACGACCAGTCCTGTACCACCACAACCTGCTGCTGCTCCTGCTGCTGCTGCTGCTCCCCCACTCCGACAGCGCCCAGCTGGGCAGCCCCCGCTGAAGACGTACCACCGTGCTGCTGCTGCTGCTCCTGCTGCTGCTCCTGCGGCCGCTGCTGTTGATGTGGGTGTTGATGTGGGTGCTGCAGAGGTGGTTGCAACGACTGCCCAGGACTCCCAGACGTCGCTGCATGTGGTGGCCGGGGGGCCCCCTCCCACTGCCCCCCCCACCCGGGGGAGAGGTACCTCCTCCAGCTGCAAGCGCCGGAAGGCTCCGGTGGGGAGGCCGGGGTGTCGAGGGATGTGTGGAGCGTCAGACGGAGCGGGGCGGGCCGAGGGAAGGTCTGGGCGCCCAGCTGCTCAAACAGCCACCGCCACTCCGCCGCCAGGTCTGAAGGAGTACATACATGCATACAGACAGACAGACATATAGACAGACGGGGTATGCGGATCCAGACACGGCAAATGTCTCTGAAAAGTTCCAGGATCGATCCCGAGAAAGAGCGGGATCGCGAATTCTTCGACCGTAAGAGGAAGTGGATGCAATTCCCCATGCCGATGGACGGTGATGGGTGGGTGCTGGAGAGGAGCAGAGACGGTGGGCCCCACGGCCACTGATGCAAAGCCGTGTGGCATCGCCACCTCCTCCACCACCACCACCTCCTTCACCACCGCCACCCACCGGCTACCCGCCCCCGCCCCACCGGGAAACAGCTCCAGGTAGGCCTCCGACAACATCGGCCATTCCGAGATGCGCGATTCCGTGAGGCCGCCGGGAAGCAGCGGCAGCAAGTCACCCAAACTCAGAGCCGCCGCCGTACTGCCGCCGCCGTACTGCTCTCCCACCGTCACTGCCGTAGCAGGGGCAGCGGCAGCAGCGGAGACCAATGAGGAGGGCAGGTACAGCACGCCGCCGCTGCCGGCGCCGTCGGGTGCAGCCGCCGACCCAATGCCGTACGCAGCTGCCTCCGCCAAGGTCACCCCTTTGGGTTGAACACCTGGCGTGGCGGCGGCGGCGGCGCCGCCGCCGCCGCCACCATGCTCAGCCTGGGGCTGATGCTGGCCACCCTTGCGCTTCCGTGCGCGGGGCCGGTGCAGCGGCGGCGGAGCCGCCGCCGTCTTACAAGCCTCCGCTGGGAGCTGCAGTACGCCGTCGACAAGAAAACCGCCGCCGTTGGTCGTGAGCACGGCGCATCGCTTCCGCAGCGCCTTCAGAAGCCACGCCGCTTGCCGACGACGGAGGGCCCCAGGCGCCGCCGTGTCCCCAGAATCCAAACCTTGCCGTATCCCGCCAGAGCTGCCGCCACCTCCACCTCCGTAGCCAGTCGCATTGGCGGAGCTGAAACCTCCGACGACCCGTGGGTCCGTCGCCGCCGTGCTGTTGGCGGCTCCTTCGTGCTGCACCATGCCGGCCAACAGCGTCATGGCCAGGTAGCGAACCAGTAGGAGGCCGTTGCTGGCGCGGCGCGGGGAAGGGCTATCGCGAACTGCAGTGGTCGCGGCGGTGGCTGTGAAGGCCTCCGCGGATGTGAGGGCGGGGATGGCTAGCCGCAGTACAATGTCCTCGGGAGCCAGGTAGTGGACTCCGAGCTCCTGGATTGCAACCCATGGCGGGAGGGAAGGGGGGGAGGAAGGGGGGTGGGAGGGAGGGAGGGAGGGAAAGGGGAAGGGTAGAAGACAGGAAAGGGGGTTGTGGTTCTAGGGGAGCTCGGGGGGAGTCGCTGGTGTGTGGGTTTGCGGGCCTCCCCCCTACGAGGGGAGAGGGGAGAGGGGGCTCAACACGCGCTGGTGACGGGCAAATGCTGTACACACACACGCACACACACACACACACCAACAGAGTAACCCCCTAGTGTCTATCCCATATACAAGGACTTAGGGTTTTACGCTCCTCTGTAAAGACAAACCGCCGAGCCGTACACCGCAGCCCGCCAGGCCCCTCCAACCACACCTCCAGGCCCCGCTGCAGCTCCAGCCTGCGCTGCTGCCCCTTTAGAGCCGCCGTCGGGTCCGCCTCCCCCCCGGCGCCGCCGCCTGCACCGCCCTGCCATGGATGTGGCTGCCCAGCTGCTGGTCGCAATCGGTCCGCGGTGTCCGCCGCCGCCGCCGCCACCAGCAGCAGCTCGGGGTCCAGGAAGCGCAGGACAGGCAGGGGCGGCTGTTGCTGCTGTTGTTGCTGCTGCTGCTGTTGTTGTTGCTGCTGTTGTTGCTGGGCGTCTGCAGCTAAGTAGAGGTGTTCGGGGTTCAAACCGCAGCGACGCAGGAGTGCCACTGCTGCAGCGGCAGAGCCGCCGCCGCCGCCGTCCGAGACTGCGCCGCCAGCACCTCCGCGCCGTCGCCCACCCAGAGCGCCATTGCCATTGGCGGAGTCTGGGAGAGGGAAGAAAAGTACGGGACCGCCGCAGGAGTGAGCGGCACTACTGCCGTACAAAGCGCCACCGCGCGCCCGCAACCGAACTCCCTCCTCCTCCTCGTCCTCCTCCTCCTCCTCCGTCTCCCTCCCCCCGCCCTGCTCCGGCAGCTGCCGCAGCTGCTGCTGCTGCCGCCGCAGCTGGTCGATGGATGCCCAGCCGCCCCCCTGGAGTGGCAGGATCGGCAGCGCACGCAGCTCCCGCAGTAGTGACCCACGGGTCATGTGATGAGCCCCTACGTGCGCGGCCTCCCCGCCGCTGCTGCCGTCGCCAAACGCTGCGCTTGGGACGTAGGGACCGCGCCGTCCGGAGGCCGTGGCAGCGAACAGAGCCGCTAGGGTACGTGCCAGCCAGCTCAGGTCCACCTCGCCCCGGTGTAGGCTGCCGTTGCGAGCTAGCTCCTACGAGGGTTGCGGTGCCGGAAACCATCGTCACATCGTCACATCGTCACATCGTCACACCATATGGGCGTGACAATATCGGATTGGCGGAATTTGATGCGGCAGGCGAAGAGTTTGTTCTTGGGAGAGGTTTGGGCCTTTGGGAGATTTTTAGGAGTTTAAGGGCATAAGGAAAAAGCCCGGCGGGCGTGCGTGTGTGTGTGTGTGTGTGCGCGTGTCTTGTTGCTGCTGGTGGGAATCGATCAGGGATCGCGGTATCACTTGTAAGAGAGGCGAGGAGGACGGAGCCACTTGCCACCAGGACAGCAACAACAGCAAGACACACAACGCACACACTCACACACGCACACACGCAAAGCCACCTTGAGGACCTCCAGCGCCTGCGTGGGGCCCAGCTCCCGGATACCCAGCAGCGCCCGCAGGGGCCGGCTCTCGTACAGGACCCTGCGGTGAAGCCACGGTACAGCAATAGCAGCAGTAGCAGTAGCAGCAGCAGTAGCCTTAGGCGCAGTAGCAGTAGCACCAGTAGTAGTAGTAGCAATAGCAAATATCAGCAGCAACAGAGCAGCAGCAGCAGTAGTAGGCCCACACGCTGTGTACCGGCCTATACACAGCACACCAGTGCCGCCGCGATAGCCCCCCCCCCTCACTGAGGGCTTTACACGTCCCCGGGGGCCCCCCCCCGGGGTGACATGCGCTGAAGGCCCTGAGGCACCGGTCGTGGCCCGGTGCTGCACCAGATAGCCCGGTACTGGTACTGGTACCAGCACCGGTACCGGCGGACTCGCGCCAAACACTTCTTGGGGGTAGCGCATCGGTTATATAGCCATCACATCTCCCATCACACAACTACCCCTTTTCCCACCCACTGTGTGTCAGTCCCCCTCCTCCTCCTCCCTCTCGCTCTCAACCTCCACTCCGCTAACCTGCGCCCTCCCGTCCCTGCCTCCGCTCCCTCTCCCGAACTGCCTCCTCCCCACACACCCCATGCACTTCTACCCTCCCTCTCTCCCCAAACCTTAAAAACACACACACACACATTAACTCCTCCCTCCCATCTCATCTTTCCCACCCCCCCACCCCCCCACCCCACACACCTGGCCTCCGCAGCCACCAGCCTCAGCCCCAACACCGATAACAGCGGTGACTGCCGTGGTGCGGGGTGTGACTGGGGTAGCGAGGCCACCATACCACGAGCCCGCTGCTGCTGCGGCTGCGGCTGCGGCGGCTGTTGCTGCGGGTGCTCCTCTGTGCCCGGACAGCCCTTCTCCCGATCCTTCTCCACCTCCTCGGTGGCCTCCACCACTCCCGGAGGGCCGCACTGTCCGAGTGACGGCGGTGGCCGTGGTGGTGGTGGCGGTGCGGAGGCGCCCATGAGCTCCATCAGCTCCGAAGCCATCACCAGCTCGGGCGAGCACACGGCGGTTTCGGAGGGAGTGGCCCAGCCGCCATCCGCAGTGGGGATGCAAGGTGCAGCTCGGAGCAGGGTGGCGATGCTGCGGAGGGAACAGGCGTGTGGGCGTGTGGGCGTGTGGGCGTGTGGGCGGGGTTTGAATCAGGCAGCTGAGGTGGGTGCGGGTGCGGGTGCGGGTGCGGGTGCGGGTGCGGGTGCGGGTGCGGGTGCGGGTGCGGGTGCGGGTGCGGGTGCGGGTGCGGGTGCGGGTGCGGGTGCGGGTGCGGGTGCGGGTATGCGGGTGCGGTCGAGGCCGGGTGGTTAGCCGGGTGGGTTCCTGGGGCGGTGGGGGAAGGAGTGGGCGGTGGTGGAGGGTAAAAAGCGGGTGGGGGAGAGGTGTGTAGGTGATGGCCGGTGGTGGTGGGCCATGGGGGCCCTGAAGACGTCGGGGGAAGAGGAAGGGGAAATCGCCGGAAGGGCATATCCTGTATCACCACCGCCGATCGCCGCCGCCGCCACTACCGCCATCCTCCCCCTCTCCCCCCATGCCCCGACGTACCTGTGTGGCAGCCCCGCAAAGAAGCCCTGCGCCTCGCCCTCCAACGGAACACACCGCAACCACTGGTCCAACCAAAACAATTCCGCAGCGCGCCGCTGCTGGTGCTGCTGGTGCTGCTGCCCAATACACTGCATGCCGCCGCCGCCGCCGCAGGCAGTGGTCGTACCAGCCGCCGCAGCCGCCCCGCTGGCGGCCACGTAAGGGTGCGGCAGCTGCTTGAAGACGGCCAGAGCTCTGTCAGCGGATCACCAGCCAGAGGGCGAGGACCGCCAGCCGGTGCCGTACGGCACGACATGGCATGGCATGGTACGGCGTCGGGTGATGTGGGCAAGGTCAGATCACGTCATGGGAACATGCATGCCTCGAGTTTCTGGTTCTCACGGGACGAGCACGGTACGTTCCCGGTCAGTTAGTTGGTTTGTTAGGGGTCGTCCTTGCAGCCTTGAGCTAAGTCCCTGCCGCCCTCTTTGCAACAACGCCGGGGCGGTCAGTCGGTCGGAAGGGAGCCCGCGACCCCGTGAAATACACATCGCTGCCGCAACCGCACCCAAGCCCGCCACGACACACCGTGCCCTTCCCCCCCCACCGGAGGAACAGCCCCGGCAGCCGGGCTCTCAGCTCCTGGTTCCAGGGGCTGTCCACATCCAGAGCCTCACGACTGGAGGGAACGACCCAGTCGGCCTGGCAGGGGGAAGGCAGGGGAAGGCAGGGGGGAATCATATGCAAGAAGCTCGGAAACGGACTGCCGGCGTCCATAAAGTCCGAAACTGTTGGATTTCAAGGCGGGGGCAGGGGCAGGGG